TCGTAGCGACTGAAATATGAGGCGGCCTGGTGCAGCACATTCAGTTGCCTGAGGACATCACAAACGAGAGATTCAGCTGGTTTCCAGGTGAGTCTCTCGAAAAACCAAATTTGTTTGCAAATGAGAATATGCACCCAGTTTATTTCGGCTCGCCCAAACGAACACACTCAGATACATGCTACTGTGTAAACACGCCTCAGGGGGTTGAGATCGGAAGGTTTGTCCGTTTTAGTCAATATAACCGTGCGTGGCGGGCTTCTGAATTTTTGAAACCATTTCAAAGTTTGTTGAACCACAGAAAATTAAGGCACGAAGACAAAATAAAGATACAGTAAATAGCTGGCTTATTCTTTAGTGTCGCAACTTTGGTTGACGGTATTCTGGTTTGGAAACTAATGCATCATTCGTGTTGCAAATAAGATGTTCATCTTAAATGCAATCGAAAGTACTCCGCACATTTTTATCATCTGAGAAATTTGGTCTGCCTTGTTGCTATAGCTTTATTTGAGCCATTTTATTCTAGTTAGTTAAATATCAAAATGAGCACCTTGTTACTTTGGGTCAAAACTGACATTCACAGCAAACTACAGTGTCACTCAACAGCCCTCTAGACTGTCTCACAGCATCCAACTGGATGCGACATTGGGGGGGGGGCGAAGACAACCAGTCGTTTGTGTCTCCACGTTTTTCATTTCACTAACCTCGCAGAGTATTTCATTTTTCGTTCCTATTTTAACCATTAGATATGTACTGACCTGATGACGAGACCCCGAAAACATCAATGTTCGTCACTGTGTTCTTTTTCAAACTATAATGCGTTATTGAAAATTCTTCGACAGCCCAAAAAGACGGTAGAGGTCAAGAAATAGCCACCCGCAATGTAAAGACTGGCATTACAAACTGAGAACAGACAGGGAATCGCGCCCGTTTTTTTCCTGAGCAGTTAACATCAAGTTATCAAACTACTGTGTTTGTACAGTACCAAAATAGGACCAAATTTTTTTAAATATACAGCTGACTTACCGTTTCAGTGTTGAGTGGATGGCTGAGCTCTGTTATTGAACGAGAATAAGAGGGTAATTACCTCGTCATCTCATAAATCCAAACTGGAAAATCAACTAGTCTATGTGGGACTACCTCGAATAATAGGCTCTATTTTGTGGAAGGCTGAAAGAAACTTCCATTATGATGCTCCCTATTGAAGTTGAATAACGCAAGTTTCCAAGAGTCTTGTGGTGAATGTTAACCAGAATTCCAGTGGGGATGTCATTTACTGCAATTTTACTTGTCCACAACAATATAGTGACAAGGTGAGCCCAAGGTTGAACTTTAATTGGTTGGCTCACAATGGACAGATCACCACTCTTTAAGGTATCCACTTATATATATACTAGTGAAGCGTTCATCATCATCTTCAAATGTTGGACGCTCGTTGTCTTGTCGGTCATGATTAGTTTTCTTCAATTCACTCGGCTTAATTCTGAATGCTTCACACTAGATTGTATTACCTTCAGACACTACGAACCAAGTTCGCTTGCTGATCTACATTGATCTAGACTCAGCAAGGTTTGCTCTTTCGAGACTTTATCCCCTGAAACAATGTTTTCCGCATCAATAGCTCAGGGGTATAATCATGTTCCTGATTTAGACCCTTGTTTTGTGCAAGTTGTTGCGTACCTAACTGCCATGCCACCCGGAGGAAGCACGAGGGCTGGGATACTTCCAGGTTGCCCAAGCCTAGACGGGGGAAGTCGACAGGCAGAGGTCGGGTCGGACCTTCCGGTCAGTAAATTCGCGTTCTAATCACTTGGGTTATCTCGCTCTCAGTAAATCTGGCTAACGTCTAAAAGGAACATTGCTGTGGCGTACTTTTACCGTTTTGATGTGACCAGAAATTTCGTGACCTTGGATAATTTGCTTATGACAGGGATGCAGTACTTGCTCATTTAGAGCTGGTTCATTTGTAAACACCAAACGGGATTTTTTACCGGAGTTAGATCACTAAACCACATGTATGACCGGAAACCTTTGGAAAAGCACTAAGCTAGGTTAATTTTCGGCCGCAAACAGGATCAACTGCGTAGAGTTCCACCAGAACGGTGACAGACACAAAGATAAAAACAGAGGGAAGTGAATACTGGTGATACTGGATGTACAGATAGGACCATCGCTTGATCCAGCCCTGTAAAAGGCCCATTCCGAAAACAACAAATTTTATCGGGGAATTTTCAAATAAATCGGAACTCACTGGTCCGTTTAACCGGCTGAAAATCAGCAAGGAGTGATTTTTCAAATGATGTGTTTTTGTAACATAAAGTTATCATATTTTTGTTAACAAGAGACAGGAGGGGGACTGTATGTGTAGACAACCACTTACAACCATTTACAACCAATCGAATGTTGTCCAGACAGTTTCGAACATTCGTGAGGCTACCTGACTGAGTTAGTCGATCATCACCACCAGACAAATTACTGGGTCGACACTTGAGGCAATGGGCAAACCAGTTACATCGCTCAGGCGTAAACACGTTTGTCTGTTCAGACCTGATAGTTCAGGTCACGCTCTGGGCTCCCTAGTGGGAACGTGCTGACTCACCTTGTATGCCAGACGTCCAAAGTTCACCTCCCGGTACTTATGTAGTGCTGATGAGATCTAATAGGACCCAAGCTCGAATCCAGCGCTTATCCCCTTTGGCGTAAACGGAAGCAGAACTTTTCCGACAGGAACGATAAGAATATAGATTTTACGAATCCCACCACCATCTACAACTATTAGAGAACTTTCGTAGCTCACCGACAAGTGGTGTTCTGGGTCAGCTGCGTAAGATACAACCGTTTCCAAAGCTCTATCGCACGTGATGGTATTCCCCACTGCGCCAGACGTAACAGCAATAGTACGAATTACAACCTCAATGACAGTAATTAGGTCATTCTCAGCGGCCAAGGAAGTTTTGGCCAGAGAATCGTCCAGTATACGCTGTGGACTCATAAAGCATGATGGTCAGTCTAATCGCTCAGAGTGAGTTCTGTGCTTAACTACGGATTTGTATTCTATTTGAGCATCATCCTACTGCCGAAACTGGCTTGTATGATGGGTATGGATTTGGTCAAAGACGAATTATGAACCGTTAGCCATTTGAAATTGAGTCTATAAAACTTCTAATTAGTGTTCATGACGACGGATCTAGGTCCTCTTTCTCAGTCTCTCCATGCCTTCTACAAACCAACAGATAAACAATATAAAACTCAGTAACTAACACCACTCCTGGGACGCATTCGGACTAAATTTTGGCTCAACATGAGCTGGACTAATTAAACTATTCAAAACCTCTCCGTATCATCCAGGACCTAGTTTGGCCAGAGAAGAGAACATTGACATCTTGGGTTCCCTGCTTGGTCGCTGGCTTGTTCACGGGACAACGCAACCTGAACCTCCAAAATCAATCGCAAGATGAATATTGCACCCTGCTCAACTCATCTATAGTTGAACGACGGCACAAACTAGTAGGCGAGGAAATTTTCACCTGTTTTGCAGTGTAATCACAAACTCACCATAATCTTGTCCATTGTCAGACTACTGTACCATGTTTCAACATCGTACGTTTCGGCAGAGGTATCTGTCTGATTGTATCGACGAAACCGCTCGCGTACGTTAACGAACATCTCATCCAGAGACTTGTGTGAAGATTTCCGTTTGTATACCGTACTTTCTTGAAGCACACACTCTGTGTGGATTCCGTGATCACGTTTTAAAGGAGCCAATGGCTGACTGTTAGGCAAACCATTCATTCCTGGATGTTCGTCTGCAGCAAGCCAAGCGGTAAGGCCATAAGGCAGAATCCCTTCCTCCCCTCGGCTACCAATTGTCTGAGAAACAGGGATTTCTTCTGAAATGGAGGAAATTATTAGACTATGTACCAAAATCTTTGAAGTGCCACATCAGTAACATGAGAAGCTTAGGTTTTCCTAGGTCGCTTGTCTCCCACCAAAGTTTCTTACAAACATGTTTCGCGAAATTTGGATATTTGGAGACATAAGTTGTTTTAACTGACCTCTGTCGATTTTTCTCCATCTATCAAGTATGGTCACCTAACTTCTACCAATTTGCATCCACTTTCCTCCACAGGAAAGAAAGTGTTGATGCTGTGACCCTGTAGCCACCCTTGCGCCACAGGCATGACTGTACACTCGCTAGATCACAAGATCTGTCTTTTTTTTTCTTACACTCACAAATCACGCCAAAGAATTACACAGCTCACAGTCGAGCTCTTGATCCCAAGGCTCGGCTTTCTTCCCCTACACGTACAAATCACGACACACAAAGGGGACTCATCTGACATTAACTGTCTACCGACTGATAAGGTAGCAACAAGTCATGTGCTGACGCCCACACACACGCAAACGTTCCTACATATAGGATAACAGCACAGCAACACAACTCAACAGAGTTACGCACGTCGCCCGATTCGGAGCAGAGGGGCTCAGGACTTACGGCGCTTCAGCCACGGATACTCAAAAATACGTGTGACTGCCACAACAGCGAAGAAGACACGAAACCTGCATCCGGACTTTCAGTAATACCTAGTACTTTTCTAGTCGGTAGCAGGTAAATGATGATGAATATAGCCAAAAAAGTCTGACTTCGATGGTTGAAAATTGTGTGAACCAGATCAAGGTATGTGCAAACAGAAAACGGTATTGAAAAGAAATCAGCTTATGCAGATTAAAGCCGTTTGAACGTCGGATCACTTGACCACCTGAAAGCAAGCTTCCGTTTCTCTGCCAAAATGTGGACAAGTCAACGGACATTTGGAGTCCAGTGTCAGGGATGTGTGTACAAAGTGCTGAGAACTATGGCATCAACGATGGCTTTCAAAAACCTGGCTACAAACAGGCAGTATTCCTCAGAAAATGAAATCCGGAAGGAGGACCGTGTGTCCTCATGGATACCTTAACTTTGTTCGGATTGACCCTAGGTACAGAAGAACTCCTTATGTTAATCCACAGACAGTGATCATTGTCACTGCCTTCTTCGATGAATTGTTATGCAAGTAAGAGTTTAGCAGCGAATACTACAAATTTAGGTCCTCAAAAGTAAGAACCGAAACAGGATGCTTCAGGATAGTTTTGAATGATGCTCATCCCCGATCAACAATGACTTTCACAAACATATCTCTCGCAGTCATCATACTGTTTCCGTCAGTGTATAAACATTTCAGAGTCAACAACCTGTCCGAAATGTAGAAAGGTCTCACAAACCTGAAAAAGTGACCTTTGACTGATGTTCAACTGTCAGCGAATCGAAGACTGACTAAGCCCGCTCTATGAGATATGGGCTATGGACTGTGTGGGCTGGCGATAGCTCAGTGGTTAACGCACAAATTTAGTGACCGAAGGGTCTGCAGTTCGCACCCGAATCCAGCATCTCGATTGCCCTTGTCTAGACTTGGACAACCCGTCACTGATCCACAGTTCTACCTTCGGGTAGCATGACAGCTGGGCAACGGACAGGTGTCAAAACTGAACACTTGTTTACGTTTTTATTTAAATTCGCCCTATGAAGATATTGTCCACGGGGATTCGCTGGCTGGTGTTATCTCAGAGACAGTTTAAATACCCCCTGGAGTCTTGGTTTCGAAGGCAGTCGAATATGCCCACCTGATTTTGATAAACAAAATTCCCATTTATAATACACTACTCATAAGGTTGCTGAAAATTCTTCGACAGCTCATGACCGTGAGTAGTGCATTACGAGTGTACATGTACTGCGATATCTCGAATATCGTAGTGNGCGACTGAAACCTGAGACGGCCTGGTGCAGCACATTCAGTTGCCTGGAAACATCACAAACGAGATATTCAGCTGGGTTCCAGGTGAGTCTCTCGGGAAACCAAATTTGTTTGCAAATGAGCGTATTTCGCTAATTCCCATTTATTTGATCGTGTGGCTTAGATGCCCAGTGTTGGCTGTAGTTACTAATCTATGACTATTGTCGTCCAAACAGAGCCAACGGCCGTAAACCAATTGGCCTTTACACCCACCTTCACAAAAGAAGAGCTCGAAACAATGATGGTTTTGTCAGCATCTCACGTACCGATATCCTCGAGTGTGGGAGTATAGATTACTCCACTGAGAGGTGCCGGAACGTTTTCAGTCCACTCGTTGTTGAAATTAGCTGGGGGCAGGTAGATCCCGACAACAAATATTCGGCGCCCATCAGGTTTTAGAGCACGCCCAAAGCCAGCATGCGTAGTGGACTTCCAGACAACCTGTGAGAAATGACCTGGGCAAGAGGATAGTTTTTGAAAATTGCATGTGGTACAGAAAGGCCCAATACGTTGATTTCAGTTTGCGCATATAGCGGGTTGTAAATGATGTGCCCTTACCGTGGGAACCCAAAAGTAAGTCGGTTAGTCCATAGGTTGAATAATCTTCATTGAGAAATTTGGTGACTGCTTTGAACGGATACTGAAAACAAGCAATGAAGTTTCAGTAGAAATTCTCTTTGGCCTGACTAGTTAACCACAAAGGCCAATTCATTACTTCATAGGTACATTTGTGATCCATTGTAGTGTGCTCTCGTACCATTAGAATGATTTGTTTTGTTTCGTCCTCTTAAGATGACGAACGATTGAAACAGTTATCATTTCTGGAGAATGGACTGGCATTGAGCGCACATAAGCTGCCAGTGAGAGGAAGAAGGCCTTCGCTGCGGAGTTATTTATTAGCAAATGCCAACTGATTAGTTACAGACCATTGGAAAGGGAAGCAAAACTCTCATATGCATCTTATTTACAAAAACTGGACATCCATCTTCTCTTGAACGCGTCTTCTTGAACTTTCCTGGATATACATTGACTCCAATCATTCATTGCTCAGATCCAAGCGAATGTTACAAAGCGAGTCCACAAATTCCTCAACAGATCTCGCTTTTCAAGAGACAAAGCGAATTTACAAGAACAAGACATACTACTCGCATGCATCCCCATCAGTGGTATCACGGTTACACTAGTAGTCCGATACATCCTTCACGTTTGAGGTGTGTTTCCTCTAATAGAATTAGACTAAATGAGCCATACCAAGACAGTTGAATGAATTTGAAATTAGATATGCATACCACATCCAAATGTACTTATTTCGTTTCCGGAAGACTACGTGAACCCAATTGGATGAATTTGTCACCGAAAATGGTCTGATACACTGCGACTGCCAGTCGATCGTTGTACAGTTACGGCTCAAAGCATCGGTGTCAACACTGATAATGCTGACTCTGACGAGGACGGCGATGTTGATGGCAACAATAATAGCGCGTTCACTCCCCTCCAATAGCATTGATTTGGACGTTTAACCCAAGTGACTACCATTCGGGGGGTTGTATAGTTTAACTAACGTGCTGCGTACTGCGTTGAAAATTACGACGCGCCGAATACTGATGAAGATTCGGGAAATTTTTAAGATCCTTTTGGAGAGTATGACGAGTACAGGACAATAAAAATAACTGATGATGAAGTATTAGCTTTCGTCAGCCCAGTATGTGCTTGTCCTGGTTGGATATATCACGTGAATGTGATGCGATTTGGCAGTCTGATATTCAGCTTCAAAGTTCATACTCTTGACCGTGACATTAAGTGGTTTCCAACCTGAGTTTTCATGTCTCAGCCTGTGGGTTGAATTCCTTAGAATCCTGAATCCTGGTAACCTCGTAACTTCGCACGAATTTCCACCAACGTGTTCGTATCGACAACCCTACCAGCCGATCGATATTAACAGACATAGTAAGATTTGAATGTATACTAAGAGATTGAATGTATATTAAGAGAAGGTATGTTTTTAGCTTAGTACAGTTAAACAGATGTCAACATTTTGGATACCAAACGCGCCCACCGGTCAAAGTCTAGAGCACCAAACCAATACTGCTAGTATGTTTTTTAGAAGATGGATGTATAAAATGGAATTGAACTATAAAGGAAATGAGGTTCTCGGTTGAGTGAGGACGTGTCTCCTTGGGTGAAGTGTGACTTAATGCAGAGTATTTCTTGAATCCCGCTGTATTCGATAAGGTAAAGTAGTACTCTAATTTTAATAGTAGGTAATCAATCTTGTGAGAAAGTAAACCCAACTGACACTTAAAAGAATAGGCCTCGTCCAGAACTACTGTTCCAACATTGCGAGAGAGAAAACGAGCAGGGGTTACTCCCAGTTTGTATACATGGCTGATCTTCCGTACAGACATTCGCCAAGCCGGAGGAAGACGACTTGGCCCCTCTGCACTTGATGTAAAATAGCATATCCGATTTCCTGTAATTTAGTTTTCAACAGTTTTTCAATCCATCCCTGTCAAATTACCGGATCTTATCCTTCTGGTTCTTTGGAACACCGATAAATGAGGCGAACGATACAGAAACTCCTCGAGTACATTTCAATCTTAGCAACGGAACTTCAGTGGATGTCTGCGTGGAAGCTGGTGATGATCGAAAATTCGTTTGCAACCTTATGTGAGAAGTTTCACCAAAGAAGTACTATTAACTGTTAAGAGCCTATACTTCCAAGACAATACTGGAAGTTCGTTTTCTGATGTACAAGCTATTGTGCGTAGTTGGAACTACGCAAAGACCCAGAGAGATGTTGCTGTTCTTCAAATAACATATCATCTACACGATAGCAGTTTGATTCCGGTATTGTCTACTCAAATAAAATTGACCCACACCATTCTGAGCCATTTTGGCTGGCTATCGTTTGTTCGCGTTCATTTTCTTCGCTCCAGACGCGTAGCTGCAACTCACTTGGCGTGCGTGGGCGGCTATGACCACAGATCGATCCAACATACCGATTGGCTGTCAAAGTCTCCGCTTAGTCGCAGAACGTTACGATAACTCTGGCTCCGGCTACACAACCACGGAGGTTGAAAAATTCAGGTGGACCATGCTCGAAATACAGAACAAAGCTATCGATCAGTCGGAAAAAACAGGGGAAAATAACGCCAATCGAAGACTGCAGGCATGGGGTTGTGCATGTGCGAATGGGTTCGAACACGGGAGTTGACCTATGTGGAAGAATGCTTTTGCGAAAACAAGATAGGATCAAACAGGCTGATAGTGTGAGTAGAGCCTTTGTTTTATTCATGTTACCAGGTTCGCCAAGATGATCAGTGTTAGGCGTTCTTTGTCGGCTGGCAGAATGACCAACTCGTTGCTTCTTCCCGTTGGCCAGAGTTGACGCTGAATTTCCTGTTGCGTGTGATGGTCAGGATGATGAGTTGGTCAAAGCTGTTGCTGAGTGCCCTGGTCAAATCCGATTGATTTCCTATGTACTTCTACGTTGAACAACTACTCCAGGTTTGTGGCACCTTTGAAGTTGAAGTTAAGTACTCTGATGAGTATGTTTTACCGTTCCTCTATGAGTCACCTTTTGGATAGATTCCTTATCCAGGATTCTTTTTGTTACTTCTGTACTCTTGGCCTCTAATCAGCGTGGAAAGATTTACGTGTCAGATGAGTCTGCTTTTTTAAAGCACTGGATGTAATACTTTCACCATGTTGGATTGCTTCAGGAGTTCTGGTTCCCAAACAGGCCTCTCAACGTCTTATCGGCTATTCTCTGGTAGTTTTGGTGCAATTGTAATCGCCTGTAATCAGGAGACTGACCATCTGTCGACCATTTTTTCTAGATAGTACCCAACCATGTGGATTGTACTTTGTGGATTGATGGGCTGCGCTATGTGGCAGGACACTTTCCTGTAGACGTTCTCGAAGGAAGCTGAGCGAGAAAGCCTTCCGGGCAGGCGAAAGTCTCCTCTCAGCAAACTGTTTCCAGTTCGAAAGAAAAGTGCGAGCATATATCCGTTCGGGATGGCGTGGTCACTTTGTGTAAAAATTCGGGATGGTTTAGTGGCAGCTACACTGTAGTATGTACTTACTAAGGTTTAGTAGATTACACAGATTATCGATGTCCTGTTACCGGAAATAAGGCTGGATGGTATAAGTTTCTTTACTGTTCAGCCGTGTTAACGAATCGTATATCCAACATACTGCGCAACACAGTGGTTTGAAAATAAGTATGCCTGGGTTCAATTAGAACTCAGGGTTGACGGAAACTGTTGGACTGCGCCTACCTGATGAATCTACCCGTGTTAACGAATCGTACATCCAACATACTGCGGTATGAGAATGAATATGCCTGGGTTCAAGAAGAACTCAGAGTTGACGAAAACTGGGGGACTGCGCCTACCTGATGAACCACAAGAAGGGCAAAACCGGTCGTGTCGATGAGTATTCAGCAACCTTATGTGTTACATGTTACGTTTAGACCATGCGCCTGCATGTTTTGGAACTGAACATGCACCGGTCGATTCAAATTAAAGGATAACAGCTACGGAATCGTAAATCGAATGCGACCTAATAACGGGACAGCAAAATCTGTTGCGCTCGTGTTTGTTTCGGATGACCCGTTCATAAGTAACTGTCTTTGCATTCTCGAGTCTCGCCTATTGGGGAAATGGATGAGGAAATCATTGCAACTGTCCTCAGAAGGTGCGTTTTCTAATTTGACCTTCATATCATCAAGTTTCACTTTTTCTTCTAACTGGCAGATCTTCATGTCAAGAAAATACAATTCAATAATAAAACTATAAAAAATACAGGGTGTCTCATGATAGACGCAAAATTTGATTGGGTGATTGAGCGTAGCCGATCGAAGGAAGGATAACAAAATCTTTCAACATTGGTAGCAACATAAAGGTTTTGTGTGCGGGTGTTGGCATTTTTTCTGTCTACGATGGATGTCAGTACGCGCATTGAAATTGTGAAATTCTATTATTCCCTTGGTGAAAGCGCCACCGCTGCACTTCGTGGTTACAAGACCAAACATGGTCTCATCAAAGATCCTTTCACCGTATCGACAAGTACACGCTTGATTGCGAGATTTGAGTCACTGGATCTGTATGGATCGACCTGGCAAAGGGAGAAAGTCTCTGAGTGATGAAAGAGCGCCCATTGTACAGAACACAGTAGAGCAACTTTAGTCCCAGAGCACCATGGCAACTTCATCAATAACTCAGATGTCTCAGTTGACCAGCATTCAACGCGCCAGCGTTCATCGTATTATGAGACGCCACCTTCATCTCTACCCGTAGAGCAAGAATTGAAGAGGAGTGTGCACGAGTGACGCTTGAAGAAGTCAAACATTCTGTGTCTCACATCTCATATCACCTCCAACTTGTTATAGAAGAAAGGGGCAGTTTTTTCAACATTTTTTGTAATGCCAGTTTATTTAAAGTAAACCTCTATAATGCATGTATGTACACATAAAAAATAACAAAGGTTCAAATTAGTTTTGAAGTTTTAACCTGAGTATTATTTTTGCGTTTATTACGAGACACCCTGTATTTGTTAATCACTTCTGTTTGAATGAACAATAACACCAAGTGAACAAAATATTAAATAATTGTTTCAAGTAAAACATGAGGTTGACGGAAACCCGGGGACTGCGCCTACCTATCAAAAAGGACGAAAAGAGTCGTGGGATGTCGACGGATTTTCAGCAACCTTATGAGTAGTACATTACAAATATAAGCCCCTGTTTTAAAAAAGGAAATCATTTCATTCCGAAGAAATGTATGATACTGGACCTATTACATTTTGTCTTCCTGTAAAACGCCAACCGTGAGAATGTTTCCACTGCTCAACTCTAATTGCGGCTAGTAACATGCTTCGGATCGCGATTGGATGATCGAGTTTCCTCTCTCGCCCAAAGAACATACTTTCCTAATATGTGTAGAGTTATCACTTACCACAATTGAGTTGATTTTCCACGCCAAACTCATAGGAGGCAATTTCCCGGTACCACATGAGAGTTGCCTGTTTACCTGTGAGGTAAGCGAAGTGAGATGGTTATTCTGGAAAGCAATGTCTTCTAAGAATAATACAAAGATTAGTTAAAAGTAAAACTCTTTTGAACAATAACAAGGAATCCTTTGTAAAGGAAACTACTTACAAGGTTGCTGAAAACTCTTCGACAGCCCACGACCGGTTTCGCCCTTCCAGTTCGGGCTCATCAGGTAGGCGCAGCCCCCGAGTTTCCGTCAACTTTATGTTCTACTTGAACCCAAATTAGACCGTTTTCGAGAATTAAAATCACGAGATACTCAACTGAATCTCTCGTTTATGATATTCTACAACTGAATGTGCTGCACACAGGCCGCCTTATGTTTCAGTTGGCAAGATATTCAAGTAGATTTGAATTCTCTCGTAAAAACCAAACTGATTTGCAAATGGGTGTATTTCTCGAAAAGGAATCCTTTGCTTTTCGGATAGGAACCATACAAGTTAGATTCTGAATGACGGAAACGAATTAGAGTCCGTACGAAAGGCGATAAGTAGGCAGTCGAGTGAATTCCCACAGATAGATTCGTTTGGGAGCTAATATTAGATACACTTAAACAGATATTTGTACTCATACCAGTAAGCGTGGTTTGATTCTCTGTTTTCCGCATCGCCACATTCTCGCCATACTCATTCGACTGAATGTGTTCTTTGCCAGCGGCTAACTCCTCTGCATGAAGTTGGGCCTTTCTTGCCAGTTCCGGATCCAACGTCAGTGGTGCACATCCGTGCAAGGCGCGAAGTCTAGAGAGTGAAAGACGGGTTAGAAAGATGTACCAGTTAGTCAGCAGGCTACTATTTGATGCCGGATTAACAGCACTGGGACCCTCACCTCGGAAAAATTTTCCAGTTGATGTAATGTGGACTATGGTATTGTTTGATCCCAATTGGGCCCCAGTTTTCTTCAACATCTCTCTTAGAATGTAAACTGCATGGAAAACTGGCTAGGAACAATCCCCTGATTGCAACCTGGTTTGTCAATTTGTGGCCTCTAATCCAACCGAATCGATTTACTCTGCTTACCTGAATACTGAACCACAAATTTCCCGAATTCCAACTTCATTTTGTTTCCAAATTTACTGATACCATCATAGCTCAGGGTGCAACTAGCTTGGTCCTGAGCGCTGTCCTTATGGCTTTAAGTGCATCTGAGTCTGTCAGAGGGCACGGATAGACTCACCCATCTGACAGTTTTGCTAGTGTCCCAAAAGAACACAAAAGGACAAGTAGGAATGCTGATAGCAAAAGCGCGATGAACCGCAAAAGACATGCGATTTCTGGTCCATTTGCTTTGAAGACAACCTGGCGCACACTGAAAACACAAAGTAATGTACAAGTACATTCCCGGAGAAAATTGTGCTACTGCCAGGTCCGTTCACCACACGGAACTTTTCCAAGTACTATCCGGAGTGTCCGTCGTCGAAATACGCAAAAATGTGAGGTCTTGCTCAGTTTCTATTCCAACACCTGCGAAAAATTTTGAGTGTGAGCCGTTCATAGTTTGTAACGATATACAAAGTGACTGCAGCTTGGGAAAAGTAAAACGCCGTCTACGTATCACCTGTAGAGTTATGTGACTGAAATATGATCAGAAAACTATTCTTCAGTCATATCTGAAAAGACATCTGCTAATAAGGGTTGAAGGGGACTGCCAAATTCCACAACGTTGAAATCACTACCAAAGTGATTTCCGCACAGAAAATCGATATTTATATATTACGTATGTATATAACGTGTGATACATATTATATATTGAATACTTCAAAGTAATGTCTGTAGAATTTTGTGAGCGATAATAAACTCACGCAAATCTGCAGTCTGATGAAAATAAACTAGGTGATGAGGTGTATAAAAAAGGGATTTTGTGAATGCACTGACAGTTTGTACACTGACAGTCGGCACAGAACGTATGCATCCTTTGCAAATTGCCATGTCGGAGTCTCATGGGGAGATTTTCCAAGTTTCGACCAGTTATCTGGCCAACTTGCGTAGCCTGGTCACAGTGAGTCTCAGAGTGACATTACGTTGCGTAGTTTGGGTGCTTTCCGAAGACCTACCGTTTTAATTACAATAATTTTGAACTGGTCTTGAAGTTGAGTGTGATTAAGCTTCCTAAGGATGAGATATAAAGTTTACTTCAGGTCAGTCCCTCTATGAGGAAGTCTATCTCATGTGAGTTTAGAACCCCACTTCATCGGACAGTGGTGTCTTTTGAAAGATTCCGAAACCTGAGTCCTTGATAGTTTTATGCACAGGCTGGTTCAGTCATCCCATATGTTTGGTTGCCTTATGGTACTGTTCCTTAAAAAAAAAACAAGGCTAATTGGTAGATATGTCCATGGGCGAGATGGCCCAAGTGGTTAGAGCGCGAATTTACTGATCGGAAGGTCCATGTTTCGAATCCAACCTCCGCTTCTCAACTTCCTCTGTCTGGGCTTGGGCAAGCTGGCAGTATCCCAGTCCTCGTGCTTCCTTCGGGTGGCATGGCAGCTAGGCACCGGAAGGGTGCTACAGCTGAACGCTTTCTTTCTTCTCTTCCATGAATTTCGACACGTTTTTATACCGAGCTCTCTAGAAACAGCATCCTAGAAGGAATTCCGCTTTTGGTAAAATACAAACTAAACTTCAAGCCAGTTTGCTTCTACATTGTTTTGTCGGAAAAAAACTTGGCTACAGATCAGAATGAGGACGCTAGTCAGTGTACAGACTCTCGCGTCGGTTTGGAACCCGGATAGTTTGTAAACTTATCCAATCGCACACCCTATCTTGGTTCCGATAGAGTGCCTACCCATATCCTGGCTCCCCTAGCCATATATATTGTGTTTAATAAAATTTGCAACTATTAATTGATTATTTTCCGATAAGTAGGCATCACACGCTGAAGGACACTCCCATTCAGTTAGCCGTGAATTGAAGCAGAATTATAGTTTCATTTCAACTGTTTCAGTAACACTTATTGAGCTAGAACAGTTTGGTTCTGACTGAGGCTGGAACTAGAGTACAGCTCAGTATCGTGCGTCGTGAACCTAATCTCTTTTTTAGGAAAGAGGGTGGCGTCTCCAGGAATTGGAGACTCTAGTGTAGCTAGCAGGCTATGCCAACTCACCCAGATTGTGGCATCCGTTCTGAAATGTCTAATCAGGGGATTACTTCATTATCCCTACAGAGCAAGATTATCTTCTTATTGACTATAATTTCGGCGGCTTCTTCCAACTCTGTACTTTAGTATATGCACGCAATGCAGGTTATTGATCTCCAACCCTAGAAACTCAACCAAGCAATCGGCAGTTTAGATTCCAGTGTCAATCGCTTTTTCACTCGTGAAGGTTGAAAGGCTTGGGACAGATAAACCAGAGTTTCATACATCTAAACGCAGTCCGACCAACGATGCAATGGTGATGTCACTTCGGTTGATGGTGAGATGTCTGCAACCACATTGCCCAACACAGCAGACAAACAAACAGCCATCATCTAGTTGAGCCCCAATCGGAAGGAATTATCCGAATACCTTTATTTGCATGCGAATTTGAACTTGATGGGACACTTAGCTGAATCCCGCTGAAGTTGTCGCTAATTTCAGTCAAGACTCGTTCACGTAAACATTCAACAAAGTGGTTTATCGCTGATCCGAAACAAAGTCAATCGGTTTGGCTGTGAGAACGTGTTTAAAGTAGCGTGGTTTTCAACAGCAAACCCATGGGAATGTATGACGTATCTGTACAGAGGCCAGCCGTCCCTAATAACCGAACACCACATCATCTGGACGGATGTCACGTGCAGGAAACGGGCCAAAAGAAGGCGTACCCTGATTGGTCAGAATGCCAGCCAATCCGAGTAAAGCACCTTTGACTCGACGCTTCTCACCCCCTCACGGAGATTCTGGCACGACCTTGTGGAACACTCTGTGACTACCCTATAAATACAGTTGTAATAATTTTCCTTTGTCTCCATAAAGGGCTGTGTAGAGCTACCGTGCCTTTTGATATTCCATAGTGGGCGGAGCAGGAATCCAAGGTATCGATACAGAGTTGCACTACCGTTCAGCAAGTTACAACAGTTTCCCTATATGGTATGTCTGCTGTTGATGGTTACTTGGTGGAGAATTCTAGTGGGTGACTGTTCAGACAATGTGGCACGTCGCCCACGTTTTTGAATAGCCTTGAGTCAAAGAAATGTTTTGGTCAGACGGAAAAAACGCTGCATTCAATCCAATCGAGCGCTGGCTAGAAAAGCTGGCAACAATGGTTGTTCAACAAAGATTTAATGCTGTCAGTGAAGTCAATCCACGTTGAGAAACCGAGAAGCACTATATGGCTGTTTCATCCCTGTTGGGAATAATCGGTAGTGCGGTTCTCACGAAACTCAAGGGGTTTCGAAACCGCGAACTTCCGGCAGGTGGTTGAACACAACACTGCTAATGATTCCCAAGAAGGAAGAAACAGTTGTGTAGTGTTGCTCAGCTTTTCAGCATAGATAAGCTGCACTGACAAGACAAAATCTCCTCATATCAACATCAATAATTATTGCGGCTTGTTGGTAAAACGCCGCAGAGAGTAAAGTTGCGATTGGAATCAGCACGTATATCTCGCAGTCGCACAAACGATTCTTCGGTTTATGATGCTAAGGCACCATACGATCAAATTCCAGTGAGTAGCGTGTAGGAACGCATGGTTGCCTGGTTGTGCGATAAAAAGTACAGGTGTCTATGATTTCAATATTTCCTGAGGAACACTATCAACAAAGTTACACCTTGAAGTGTAGTCCGCAGGATGATCTGTCAGAATTCTCTTCAAAGATAGTGAAATCCAACAAAAAATCTAAAGCCCAACGAAGAGTGATCGCTTCTGTATAAGTATTCTCTAGATACAAGGAAAAGTGTGACACACATGGCAGATGAAACGCCTGTCTCCCAGGATGGATAAACTACACTCTCCCGAACGAACAGCAAAACCGTTAACATCGAATTTAGTATGACTGCTTTTCATGCGACATTAATTCTGCGTGAAACCATGTACTAACCAGCTTGCAATTTAGCGGTAATCGTCTCCTGCACCCACATTTGTGATCATTCGCACAAGTATTCATTCAGCCAAACCAAATTATTGTTTAATGAGCAGCCACAATAGTAATTAGACCATAAAGGAAACTACTCACAAGGTTGCTGAAAACTCTTCGACAGCCCACGACCGGTTTTGCTCTTCTTGAGGCTCATCAGGTAGGTGCAGTCCCCGAGTTTCCGTCAACCTTATGTTCTACTTGAACCCAAATTGGACTGTTTTCGTGAAATACACTCATTTGCAAATCAATTTGGTTTTCACGGGAGACTCAACTGAATCTCTCGTTTATGATGTAGTCCGAAAACAGTCCAGTTTGGGTTCAAGTAGATCATAAGGTTGACGGAAACTCGGGGACTGTGCCTACCTGATGAGCCCGAACTGGAAGGGCGAAACCGGTCCTGGGCTGTCGAAGAGTTTTCAGAAACCTTGTGAGTAGTTTTCTTTATGAAAATATACTGCGAGATCTCGAATATCGTGCCAACTGAATCATGAGGCGGCCTGTTTGCAGCACATTCAGCTGGAGGACATCATAAACGAGAGATTCAATTGAGTCTCCCGTAAAAACCAAATTGATTTGCAAAGTTATTAGACCAATTACATGATTGTATCTTGTGTACTACACAACCACGTAAACAATTGAAACAGAAGAGCACAATTGTGCGGCACATGTAACTGAAAAACCTCATAAACGAGATGTTCGACAGTTGAATATCCAGTCAAAACCGAATTGGTATGCAAATGAGTGTATTTCGCTAAGTTCGTGCAACTTGAGTTCAAGTAGAACATAAGATTGACGGAAACTCTGGAACTGTGCCTACTTGATTGGACGAAAAAGGGTGAAAATGCCACGGGCTGCCGAAGAGTTTCCAGCAACCTTGTGAGCAATTTCTCCCTCTTTACCGCAGGTCTCAGCTGACCGCTGCTACCCTTCTGGAAATCTGTGTACAGAGGACTCTAAATTCCCTGCCGACTGGTGTATAACGTACTGGGGAAAGCCCTTTACTTGCCGATGCGCAGATGGGTCACCAAAATCCACCTCCAAGCAGTTGGGTACGTGTTGGAATAGAGGTATCTCAGACGAGTTCACTGATAGTTAATGAGGCAAATCTGTTTGCCGAGCTGGGCAATAGACTTGCCTCAATCAACCAGCACTGAATACGTCACTTTGAAAGGTGAGTCAGTTACCCTTTCCGGCGAACAGATCAACAGAAGACCGATCAACTTCCAAGGTTCAGTATCTGTAGAAAAATTTTGCGTGTTACAATTGGTCGTAGGCTGGGAATCTTGGCCACATGGCGCTTAATTCATGTGAGGACCAAAGAGTGACTGTGGGCCACCAGATTCGCCAGGCGTTATCTAAACTACCTTGTCAAATAGTCTGCTCAACTTTTAATCTTTTCAGAAAAGCCAGTCAACACTCCACGTTTTACAGGGATATTTTAAATTCTACCTTTGAGGATTTCTAAATTGAGCGTTTTAGAAGTTAAATGTATCCGGTACAGCCAGGTAGACTGAGTAAATATCATTGATAGCAAATATTATTATTATTATTAATAGCCATCGAACTACTCACCTATTATGTTCTTCAATGCACTCTCGATTCAAACCCTCGTCAATCGACATCATGCTCATGTGAGCAACAACTTCGTTTGTGATCAACGATTGTTGATCGGCAGATTTACTCGCCACCCCTGTATTTATTGCGAGCTGGTCAATCGATCGTGATCCGACGGTGGCTATCCAAGGTCTAATCCTCGTGAACACACAGGATCAAAGTCCACTACAACTTTTCATGTCAGGTCAACTCTCAGTATTCGTTTGGCGACAAGACTTCGATCGACAGTCATTTGTATCAAACGAAGGTAGTATTTGAATGACTGGATGTGACTGTTTGTAAGCTGACAATGGGTTACCTAACTGCTCAAACATTCAACTATAGCTTAGCATAATCCTGTTTGGCGCGGATAGAAACCAGAAACAGACCTGTACCTCTTATTTTTTGGTTCAATAGTCTTGTATTTCCCAAGCCGGACCATTAGTTAAAAGGAGTCAGAAGCACCCAAAAATCATAAATGACTTCCGATTTCCATGAAGGAAGCTACTCACAAGGTTGCTGAAAACTCTTCGACAGCCCACAACCGGTTTCGCCCTTCTTGAGCTTCATCAGGTAGGCGCAGTCCCCGGGTTTCCATCAACCTTACATTCTACTTCCGATTTCATTCATAGGCACGAACAGGGTTGTCACTTGACTACAAATGTTCTTAGATAGGTAACTAGATCGATCGAAGGCTTATACTGTCCATTCGCCCTACCAAGCGATGGGTTATTCGGAAGAATTTCGACGTTGGATCTTTTTCGTTTGACTTTTCTGGTTTGTGAAGTTCTGCTCACTCAACCATTTCGGACTGGTTAATCCGTCATACCGAAATTTAGTGGCGCCGTACCATATTACAGCCTGTTAAGATCGAGTCAGAAACTACCGAAGTATTCGGTTTGTTTTGACTTGTTGTAATTGAAATTCGTCTTCCGATCAGACCAACCACAGAACNCTGCCCTCACAGCACTGTCCAAAACCGTATGGTTATGTTGGAAAGGCGTTAGTGGGGAGCCACAAGCGTGAGCCACTTGTGTCCGTTTATTAGAACTACCATAAAAGTCAAAAGATCGTTCGTCCCTGCTCTATATAACCTGGTCGGTGAGTTTCACACACCAATCTTCTGTGGGGGTATGTTCACCAAACAAAAGTTAACGTTGGAATTCAGTGCAACAGTTGGAAAAATCTAACAAAGATCCTCAATTTCTCCTGGTTATTCACATAAATCAGTGGGAAACAGAAACGCCACAAAAATTAACAGAGTCTACGTGATCTCGCAACGGGAAACGTTCAACCAGGTGGTGTAGACCCTCCCTTGTAAAGTCTTCTCCCGAATCTTCAGTCAAGACCATCTCAAGTTAGTCTGAGCGGCAGTAAATCATAAACAAGTATTTATTTATTCCAAAGATCCTCAGGTACCCATCTCTCGATTTTTTCACCCTGTTTACCATGAGCTTTCTGCTCGAAAGTCTTTCAGGTTTCGATAGAAATGACTGTCAACGTCCAAACTAATCACTTGGGATTTGCAACGAATTTTCATGGTTTTTATTCTGATCTGTACTTTACGGAGGAGCTATTGACGAGAGTCCTGATGATGGATAGAGTAAGTAAACTCCCTTTCGGTCAGTTGACGGAGTGCAGTAGTGCCAGCGTCAACAAATAAAGACAAAAAAAGAGAAGAGATTCGCTTGCTGGAGGGATAGATTTCTTAAGACCTTCCAGGAATTCGCTTCTTTCCGAAAGGGTTCCTCCTGTCAAGAACACATTCTATTTCAAAGCTGACCACGGACCACCGGTCAAAACACGATGGCTTACACATCGCTTGTGATAATAATGGCGACACAGTAGTAAAGCCACCAGATTGATACTCTGTTCACTGGAAAACCGACTCCGGGATGAAGTAGATCATTTTGTGAGGACCTCCTTACAATGTCGCACAACTCTAAAGACATAACTGCTGAACGGTTTTCTTCTTAAACAAGAGGCTGATTCGAGTTTCTCGTTGACACTAATTTAATTTGCTTAGCCTTACGCTACACCTGTCGCAGCCGTGTGATTGATTAAAAAATCTATGACAGCGAATAATTAGTTCACGAAAATGACGCTAAGGCCAGGGTAAACGTTTAACTACATCAACTAATGTGGAACTTTCCAGGTTGACAAAAACAAGCTTATCGTCAGTGTCGTTAATTGTATTGAACAGAGACTAGTTGAAGGAACACTACTCATTAGGTTGCTGACAGTTTTCTTTCGACCAGTTGGATTCGATGCCGGGTAGTTAGAGCAATGGGCACAAAAGTTTCCGACCGAAATCGTGATAGTTCGGCTGGATTTTGCAAGCAATGCGCCAGATGGTTTCTAGTTCTGCCGTGGATGTGGTCTGGTGCGATTATTTATCTTCCAGAATCACCGCTCTAGGGAAGAATTTGTTAATGGTTGTGAGTCCTCTATGCCCAATCGAATTCCGGGTGCCTGCTTCTCAGATGAATGAAGTCCTCAAACGACTAGGTGCTGTTGGCTGCAGTTCTCTCCTGTTATTGCCGCTCTTACTGAAAGAAAACTTAGAATTAAGCTGATCACACCACACGATGGCTGGTGTGGTATGACGACGTGTTTAGTTGTGACATTCACGATTATGAGCTGGGATACTCGCAGAGTGTAGGAGGACGTTTAAGTTCTTCAACCAGTACTTGGCTGGAATGCTTCACTTCAAGCCAGCAGGTGAATGCCGGTGTAATATCACAATAGTTGAAGTAGTGCACTAAGCCTATTTCATCCCCAAAATTGGAGGACCAGTAGAGTGTGTCCACAAGACCCTTATCAACAGACTGACCTGATGGAACGGTGATACCACTGATGGGGTGGCATGCGAGTAGTATGTGTTTTTCTTGGAATTTCGCTTTCCGTCTCTTGTGAAGGGGAGATATGTTGCGGAATTTGTGGAGTCGCTTTGTGATATTTGCTTGGATTTGAGCAATGAATGATTGGGGTCAATGAATATCCAGGAAAGTTCAAGAAGACGTGTTCAAGAGAAAATGGATGTCCAGTTTTTGTAAATAAGATGCGAATGAGAGTTTTGCTTCTCTGTCCAATGGTCTATAACCGGTCAGTTGGCATTTTCTAATAAATAACTCCGCAGCGAGGG